ACAATGGTCTTTTGCTCTGTTGCGCGCATGGATTGTGGTCTATACGAGGGTCCAACTTGCCCCAAGTCAAGGGGCCAAACTAGTGCACATTTTTAACCTAAAGTGTTGCAGCCATTTTTGGTGCTAGAATGGACTACGATGATACATTTCTGTGAAACTTGAAACAGTGAGCTTCAGTTTGATGCTTCATATATACATCCGATCAAAAGCCTATGAAAATAGATTTTAAAATTTCTTAAATAAAGTTACTTTAAAATGCAGAATTCTTTCATTTGGACTCACTGCCTAAATAAAACTTTTGTACGACCGATGCTTTCTTAGCATTACTGGATAAGGTCACTTTACAAAATGATGTGATAATTTTTTTTACCCCGAACTTACTTTTTCATAAATTGACGGGGGGCCAACTTATACCGGGGTCCAACTAACCCCGGCCTTCCCTATATCGTGACCTCGTGCATTTACACCCTTTTTGCATCGAGTAGTACACTCAGTCGATTTTGAGAGGTCTTAACACGTAATCAAGCTATACAGGAATTGTTAGTCCATTTCGTAGGTTTTCCTCAAGTGAGCATTTTGCTGTTTTAGTTAATTGGTCATGTTGCACATGGGCACTAGTGTCCGTTTAGGTGACTCTCTTACAGCGTATTCAAATCAGCGGTCTTCCTGGCATGCTCTTGAGCCTGCTTTTGTCACAGATAATTTCTTAAATTTATTTTTTTTTGTGTTTTCTTCTATCATTAAATAGACATGATTGTATTGTCATTATGCGGTACAATTCTAGCAATTTAATTTTTTGAAAAGATATGCAAAACGTCAGTCTTGAATCGTCCAGAATAAAGATTTATACATTTTCAAGGTATTTCTTCAACCTTTTTTGTGATGCAAATAAAGAAATTTCGTTTTATGAGGACTTTAATTTAATTTACCTATTTTTTTACAGATTGGTGGATGTTCATTTAATACATAGTTTCGTTTCATGCACATAATTGTCTAAGGCATCCTTAGATGTGCCCCATACTAAAACACATTTAACAATCAGACAAAATATTTCTATAGTGTTTGGTCTTCCTGCTGGCAGAAAAAGAGAAAATTTTAGTATGGCATCGTTTTAAAGAGTAAAAAAAGGATGTCAGTAATAATAAGATGCAAAGATACGGGATCCGACAGTATATTTTGAATTTGTCAAGGCTCTGATGACGTGAACACAAAATTGTAAAAAATTTGGCAGCGCACGGCCAGTGAGGACATCCGGAGACCCTTTCCACAAACACACGAGGCCTGTGTCACAAAACGCCTTGGTAAAAACTGAGTAAATTGGGACAAAGCGAAGAGTGCTCAAATCTTGCAGTGGTCTATGTGGAAAAAAAATTTAAATGATTTTGGCGGTAGAATGAAACAGCCTCGACCAATATCTGACGTAACTAATTAGCTACTTAATCATCGAAGAGAATTCATCTTTGTGATCTGCTTTCCATGCAAACAAAGCAAGGGCACGCGTATAACGCTTCGCATGATGTGCAGACCATAATATACAGGAGAAAATGCCTCTCATCTTCAACAGTGGCAGATCCAGAGATATGTTCTGACAGTTTTCAAAATTGTCTTTGTTCATCCATCCTCCATTTTTGACCATCTTACGACAGAAAAAAAATTAGATGCCAGTCAGTGTAACTTGAAAAAATTCTGACCGTCTTCCGGAAGACCCAGAAGACGGCCTCCGTCCGCCCCTGTACTATATCCAAATTTTAGTGTGGGCAGCACCTATTCCTTCTACATATCTGCCCCTGTCCATCGCAATTCTGTTGTCATTTAATCTGAATTTTGCTAAAAACTTATTATATGTGGATTTTCAGTGCCAAACATTTCTCTGATTCAAATGTTTTTCTCGCTGTTTTATGTTTTAAAATTGCTTCGCTATCTCGATAATACGAATAATTCTTCCCCAAACTGTTTTTAAAACGATCGATTTATTTTTTGGTTCTAGGTTTGTGGAGTTATCAAAACTTTTGGATGTGATTCCCATGCCATTAGGATTGATTAGCGGGTTTATTGTATTACATTTCGTTCATGTTCAAGGTTACGCCCGACACTACATAGCTTTTTTTGTCAATTGTGTCGATTTCACGTACTGAGCAACAACCTGATTTAAATTTTATAAAATCAGTCGCAACAAAGTAATTTTGTGCTTGAAAGATTGAAAGATGAAAGATGCATATAAAGTCAATTTTCTTCACCACAAAAGCCAACCAAATGCCAGCATATAGTTTCAAATAGTATAACTAAGAGAATTACCAAAAGACATTGTTTAATATTACCCGAAAAATTATATTTGAACGGAATTTTTCTGCTAGCTTTCTATACTTTATATAAATGTGGGAGAAAAGTAGTTCAGATAAGTAGGTTAAATTTCTGATCAAAAATTTAAAGAAAGGAGCAGTCTAAAGCTCATCGAGTGATTTATTCAGTTTATCCCTTGGCATGTCGAATTTATTTGAGTCATATAAGAAACGTGTAGAAGTGGTTTAAATGTGTTACTGAGAATCCACGCTCCACCTCAGTTCATATGTACCTGTAAAAACGCTTAATTGACTGCTTTAATAGCGAAAAAAAGGTGTGACATTGACTGGTATGTCTGTCTCAACAACAATTGTGCTTTAACTATCACACCAAACGCAATCTTAACACATTTCTATCTCTACCTTGGGTCAGTTTTGTTCACTTAAAAATAGTTTATTCATCAATGAAAAGATTTGATATACAAAATAAAAATTAAGTATTGTCATTAACAACAATAAAAACATCGAACAAGCACCACTTATGGTTCATGAATAATATAACATATTATCAGAAGTTGAAATCAAGTTCCAATTCATTTATTCAGTATTTCAGGCCTACAAGCCAAGAGTACATCACAATTAAAAATACATTTGCAGCCTATTAGCTTAAAAAAGACTAACACCCCTGATATTTTAGCTATATGTTGGTCATATATTAGAGATAAAATTGCATTTTTCAGGTCTGAAATGCTTTTTCAGAGAGGTAAAATAATATGAATTTTTGCACAATTTCTGATATTTTATAAGGGCACCGAAAATTTTTTATATTTGAGAGGGCGAACAGTGCCATTTGGTACGGTTTAAAACTATGATTCAGCTAGAGCGCTGAAGTTAGTGTCTAGTTTCTAGTTTTCAGTTTCGTTTTTCAAAAACGAACCTGGCAACCAGAAACTTTGTTTCGTTTTTCAAAAACGACTCTGGCAACCAGAAACTAGTTTCGTTTTTCAAAAACGATTCTGGCATCCAGAAACTAGTGTCGTTTTTCAAAAACGATTCTCAGAAGTCAGAATCAGTTTTACAGAGAATGTAACCGTCTTTCCGTGCCGTGCTAGGAGGCCGAGTTGACCGCCGCTACCAGTCACAGGCAGCCTGCATAGCGGAAGCTGGGATTGGAGTTTAGGTGGGGCTGGGGCTGAGGGTGGGGGTGGGTGAATAAGGGAGAGGGTAAAAAGGGGGAAGGGGCCCCCGGGGCCTCCCTTTGTTGTTTGAAATATAATTTTCAAGTTTATTAAATTTTAAAAAATCGATTCTAAATGGTGGATGAGGGGGATAAGGGACCCCCCCATCCGTCTGGGATCTCCCCTAAGTAGTATGAAGTATAATTTTTAATTTCATTGAATTTTTCAAAAACGATTCTAATGCCCAGAGGCCAGTGTCGTTTTTTGAAAAACGATTCTGGCGACAAGAAACCAGTGTCGTTTTACAATAAGTGTGTACCCTAAATTGTTTTTAAGATGACTTAAGCATTCAGTGGCAAACGCCTCTCCATTAAAGAGATAACAACTGTTCGTTTTGGCCAAAAAATTGATATCCCGGAATAAACTACAATTTTTCTACATTCAAAGCTCGCCTCTGTTTTTTTTTTTTTTCTAAAAAGTTTGTGAAATATAGATCCCATACTAAGAGTTATTATCTCCTAAAATGAAACTGCTTTGGAGAACAACTGTCGGTTGAGAAGTTCAAAATTGACATTTCAATTTTTGTTGGGTTATCACAGTCAGCTTTTTGTTCCAATGCTTACTGTTATCAATATGGTTATGTTTATTTTAGTCTGTTTCCTCTACTTTCGTGAGGAAGATTACACTTCCGCGTAAGTTGTACTTGCTGTTGTCGCTTTTAGTATTAATAATGAGTTTGTCAACTTATTCATTATGTCTTTGTTATCGATGTTTAAGTAATTGTGTCGTTTACCGTGCTTAGAATGTTAATTTTAAAGACATTCTTCACCTAACATTATGTAGCGATTTGGGGGAGAAAACACTCTACCGACTAAACAATTATTTCTTCGTTTTTATGTGATAATACATGAGGTTTTTAAGTTAGGGCAACTTGATTTTTATTGTATTAATAATCGTTATGTGCACTCCTTTTGCAGATGAGAAAAAAAGACTGAAGCCAGGAGCGATACCATCCATATTTCCATTTAATAATTCGCAAAGTATCAGATCCGATGAAGTGGAGGTAAATATAACGCATGATATAATAACAGATTTATAAATAAAATGTTTCTTTTTATTTGTATAATTATCTGTCTTAATACTAGAAATACTATAGAAGGACTAAAGGGGACAAGAGGCAGTCAGATCTGCGTCATTTCTGTCATCTACACAGATTTTATGTGTTAATTAACAATGAAGTATTTTTCTTTGTGTAATTCATAAACTTATGTATTTATTTTTTGTTGTATCCTATATAGGACGAGTCTCAAACAGATGAAGCAGTGGCAGACAAACATGAAGACTGCGCTGGTGAGAGCCAAAAAGAAAGTACAGCTTCCCAGTGTGATATCACTACACCATCAGACACAAGAGGAAGCATCATGCTGTACCAGAAAAATGCAAAGGCTGTCCAGTATCAAACTGGATTTAATCATATTGAACATTTCATGTTGTTTTTCAATGGCCTTGGGCCAGCAGCTCACCACTTGAATTTTAAATGTTTGTCACCAGGGCCAATGTTTTTTGATCATTATGAAACTGAGACGAGCCTTTGACGATTATTTAGCTCTCCGTTTCAAGCTATCGGTAACAACGGTGTCAGAAATAATAAGCACATGGATCAACTTTGTTTTTCCAGCTCAGTGAAATGAACACTTGGCCAGAACGTGACATTGTTGCCGACTATATGTCTGTAAATTTTAAGAAATATGGAGTCTTGATTTCATGGTTAAACAACAGTGACTGGCATAATTTGTCCTTGTCTTGTCTTTCGGTTGCGTTCAAAATATCACCAAACCTAAAAATGATAAAATTAAATTAGTGAGATAGGTTTTTTTACTGTTCTTTTCAATTTGTATTCCAAATGCAAAATGAAATTGTACATTCATAGCATTAAATGTTGACCTTCAAACCATGATATATCATCTCACAACTTGTATTTATGTATTATAATGCAACTACAGGTAGGCCTATATATAGTAGCTCAAGGTAGGACACGATATTGATACAAGCCATTTGAACAAGTAAAAAACAAGCAAACTTATTTTCGTTTGCACACCTACCTCGATGCTGTTATTCTCCATGATCTTTCTTCATGCCATACTCGACTTTTACTTTGGCCTCTAGTTCTGTTTTCAAGTTCTGACACTTCCTTCTCTGTGACCTACCAACATCAATGCAATTATGAGGGAGTGAAAAAAACAATGATGCTAACAAAACGATGCTAACATTCTTGGCAAACACCGTTTTGATTGTCTACCTCATCTACACTTAGTTATGTCAACTGTCATTGACATAAAACACGCATCAACCCTTGTCTCTCCTTTACAAATTTGTGTTGACACAAGTGTTAAATGTCGGACCTGGTTCACGAAATTTGATTACCGAAACGAACGGTCCTTTATCGACAAGGAGTGCCTACAATAAACATATTTTAAACATAAATGCCTTCATTATATTCTCGGAATATGGAAATACGCAATGACAATATCGTTATCTTGAAATATAGTAATAAATTAGGCATATAAGTAGTGCGGAACTAGCCGCCGCTTACACCTGGCTTTTGACAGGGAGCTCACACAGTAACCCATATTTTACGGGAAGATTCGAGCGCGAAACCTTCAATATTAATGATACAATTGACACATTTATAAGTAAATACACTAACCTTTCTACCAAATCCTGTTTCTTTCCTCTAGTGGAGGCTCCTCTTTCAACTAGTTGAAGTTTTAACTTCGCCACCGTTTGCTTCCCATACTCTAAAGCCATTTCTACACGGACGCGAAAACGAGGCTATCTTCAATAACCACTATTACCCCAGCGCCCTCTTTAGGACAAACGGCTCCGCGTATAGCCCCATTAGACCCCATTCCCAGAGATTAGATCGATCCAAACTAGATCGACCTAACTCCCTGGGGGTTCACGCTAAATAGCTGTCAGCCGAGCGGACACGAAAGTTAATTACCCCCTTACAGCTTGTAGTAGGCGGGACGGACATTTAAGCCGGATTATCTGACAGCAATCTAGTGAGACTCCCCACGGGGATAGTTCGATCTAAATGTCTGGGAATACGCCCTTAAACTGTGGATCATGCTACATGATGACTTAGTATCCCATGCAAGATACGTTATGTTTGAAAAGATAGTACAACCTACTGGCCCAAATATTTCTTGGTTTATAAGCATGCTAGTTAATTTCTGGTATTAATGTCAATTTTGTTTAAGCAGTTTTGTCATTTTTGCTGATATATGCCCCATCTTTATTTTTTAAGTTTATAGAATTTGCCATTTGCTTTTGTTCTATGTAGATCACGATACACAAAACCGCTGAAACAGAACTATGAGTGACAATGACCGAAATACGGAGGCACTTTGTTGGTATTTTTTTTTTTTTGAAACTTTTCCCATTGCTTTGCCCAAAAATTATTGGTAGTACCTGTATATTGTAGATAAATTTATTTATCCTGGTATACTCAAAGTATGCAGTTTTTCTGTTACACAAATTTAATTTTGAAAGTTTATGGTTCACGCACATTAACACACTTCTTTTATATGGAATTGCATCTTGTTCATTATTTAGCCATTTTCGCAATAAAACGTTTCTTTATTATTGCTGTAAAATAGGGTCTGACAAAGTATATTTTCACGGCTATATGACTTAAAAGTTCATGTACAATACCGGTGATTAGAAATGTATTAACGTATGTTAAAGATTAACACATAGAATAAAGTACCCTTTGTCTGGAGAAAATGAAAAGCATGTAATTTATCACCTCTAGAGAATTATCTGGCATACGACGAAAAGCTGATTTAATTCTGCAATACACCTAGACATCTAGCTGCATCTAAAATAATCTTAGCTGTATGGTATGCTAGTACGATGAATAAAATTGCTGGTTTAATTTCAATTTTAAAACAATTATCAGGAACACAAAAACGATTCAATATATCTGGGATACCCATTATCTGACTAAAAAGTAACGATCCTATGCATTTTAATTTGCATTTTATATTGTGGCGCCTGTCATATCTCATATATGATTCTAGATGCTTTGTGTTAAATAATAATTTTAAACAAAAGTTCCTTGCTTCTGGATGTCTTAATAGTTGTTTTAAGATCAATTGAAATAAATTTGGCCCGCCAAAACGAAAAGAAAAAGGCCCAGTCACCTAAAAACATTCTCACCCAGCCTAGTAAAGACACCTGAGAGGCCAACTATATTCTATCCCCCCTCCCAACAAACACACACACACACGAACGATCTAGTAACTTAATGTCAAAATCAATCTATTTTATTTATTTTTTACGGTATTTCTTTTTTTCAATTTTGAAATACAACACTCCTTTTTTAGATGCAGAAAATTTAACTTGCTCCACCCAACAGCAAGGCGAGGTCCCCAGGGGACTTAAATCCCCCCCCCCCTCCCACTTCCCGGCCTAGGATATTTTATGGTAGACAATGATCGGCGGCCACTCGCACGACGGGGAAAGACCGTGATATTCCGGACAAATTCCGCGGTGAAGGTTACCTGTGCACTGTAGACACTGGAGAGCGCGCGGAGAGGCTTCCACGCTGAGGGTTACCTGGTCGTGGTAGGCAATTATCACAGGTTGCCTCTCCCTCCCTCCGCTCCTGTTTCTCTTTGCAAGAACGATTCTGGCTTCTCAGAATCATTTTTGAAAAACGACACTAGTTTCTGGATGCCAGAATCGTTTTTGAAAAACGACACTAGTTTCTGGTTGCCAGAATCGTTTTTGAAAAACGATACTAGTTTCTGGTTGCCAGAATCGTTTTTGAAAAACGACACTAGTTTCTGGTTGCCAGAATCGTTTTTTAAAATCGACACTAGTTTCTGGTTGCCAGAATCGTTTTCGAAAAACGAAACTGGAAACTAGAAACTAGACACTTACTTCAGCGCTCTGATTCAGCTAGTCAAAATTTTATTACAAGAGGGGACCAGAAATCGAAGGGGGGGGGGGGGGTTAGGACCCCCCTCTAAATCCGCCACTGTCCATATACCCGTAAGGAATATTTCGTCTGTAAGATAAAAATACCCCTACCCTTACCTGCCACTAGTGGGATACACACGTTCAACAAAAGCAGCTCACTTTTCCAGAGCGCACTCACTTTTTTTATCAGTTTCAATATGCTGAATACTTCAAAAACCTCCGCTTCCGATTATTTAAATATTTTATGATACTTTACGGAAAGTCACGAAGCTCCGTGTGCTTTCAATAGACGTCACGTTTTCGTTATTAACGATTCATTTTTAATGCAGACCGCATATATCTATTTTCACGTCAACGGAGACCTGGGTTTTGTCTGTACTATGAAAACTTTAAAATATTATATATTGGGATATTACGCATGAATAAGGGTTAAAATCAAAACCCAATTTGATCAGCCTCCAGTTTTTCATTCGGTAGTATTATAACGTTGTGGCTACGGAGTTTTTTCCGGTGCGAGGGAGGTTTTTCATCAGCATCTAGTACTTAAATGGATGTGGTAGCTAGATTTGGAATGTACGACTTCCCCCCCAAGAAGAAGGACAGGAGACATACAGTTCAACCAGGCCAGTTTGCCGGCGAGAAACCTACACCGTAGGAAATTTCAGTAACCGAAGAAGAAAGAACACGAAAATACCAAGACCAAACAAAGCCGACGAAAATATCCAAAAAAATAGCAAGGTAAGGTGTGTTTCAAATCTCCGCCTTATTTAATTTTGGCATGTTATCATTTTCAAAACTTAAAGATAAACCGAAAGATGCAGTGTATAGGCAATTTTTTCCAAAATATTAAATATGATGAAATCTAAAAAAAATAAAAACGGTCGTAGTAAATACCAAATACGAGAGGAAAAAAATCACAGTATCGGTTTCATTATAATTCTAAACATACCGGATGTTTCTGGGCTCATGACGGCACTCAAACTGAAACCGGTTTGGGTCTGTGTGATTTCAGTGGGGGATTTAGAAGGGGGTTCTCCGGGGGATCTGACCCCACCCTTCGATTTCTGAAAAAAAAATCACACCAATGATTCCCTCTTGATATTAGAATTTTGACTAGCTGACTCGTAGTTCTAAAGTGTACCAAATGGCCCTCTAACATACCCAAATTTTTGGAGGCCCAAAAGGGGGGGGGAGAGGGTCGGCTTTGCATCCGCGGCCTGTCAGTCCTAAAAACCGGCCCCCCCTTCAAATAATCCTGGATCCACTACTGGATTTGGAGTAATATTTAGAAGTTATGTTGTTGGATAAGAATCAGTTTGGATAAGAATCAGTGAATATTTGAAGAAGGAAAGAATTAAATGCACGAGAGTTCAGGTCTTATAAAATTATTTCTTTGAAAGAACTGTCAAATTTGCACTGTAGTATAAAACGTTTACTAAACGTTTACTTAGAAAAAAAAGAGACGCATATTTCAATATATCAAACCAATGTGTATTCCACAAGAATATAACCATCGGGTAATAATTGTGTTTTGGCATAGCATTTGTTCCTGGTATCAAACCCTGCTGTGGGTACATAAGTCTGGGCAAAACGTAATTTCAGTGTTTTTCAGTGGCTTTTGTTACAGCCGTTATAATACTGAATAGGAGATAGATCAGCATTATATTTACAGACTTGACATTTGATATGGAATGTTTTTTTCCAAATCATAATCCATCAGTTTTTTTTCCTATTTTGCAGACTGATAAATGAAAAAAAGGATTAAAATCGTGTTTTAATAACTTTTGATAATCTATCCGATGTCATTGTGACATCAGTTCATTAATTGAATACGCCCGTGAAGCAAACAAAAATACATTGCCTATTTTAAGTCATACGACAACCATTGAAAGCGATATTTTGGATCTCCATATTTTCCAAATTATCGTCTTTAAAAGAGTTACACGCCCCATAAAGGCCCCTTATGTTAGTGTCTTGTCACAGCAACAGTCGCTGTTATGCCTGACCTCATCTCCCTGCATGCTCCTAGCTTTCAAGCGGCAAGGCATACTGTGGGATAGGTTTTTGGAATTCAATCTGGAATAAAATTCCAGGAAACGGTTAAAACTTGTCCAGTTTGGTTCAGTTTTGTTTTAGGACGCTGTTGATTCGGCGACTAATGACCTACCCACATATTGTCTATGTGGTTCAAATATGGCGATTTTGATGACCAAGGTAGCTGCTCATTCCCTTGGTTCTGTAAGTTATCTACTATTAAAATTGCTCTGTGTAAACCGGCAATCTGATCGTGCAACCTAAAATTGTTCCTAAGGTACCCCCCCCCCCCCCCATCAGATGATAGTCAACTGGTTCCCAGATTATTCCTTTATTTGATCTGGTTCAGGTTTTCATGGTGGGGGGGGGGGGGGGGGCTTCTTCCATAGTTCAGTGTGTAGTTGCTTGGAGATAAGCTATTATTAACGTCGTTTGGCAATTTTTTTATTCTCATCAGCAGAGATAATACACTGCAAAAAGCTGTTATTATATTAATTGTCATCCTTAAACGCACCAATTAGGCCGCATTCAGCGCTGAAAGCTAGCAAACGAACAATATCTTTCTCTGAAACAGGAAGTCTACCCTCCATTTAGTTATAATTTAGGGTTAGCCTGACTTAAGTGGGTCAAAATCTAGGGGGAGGCTTACCTGTGCAAATGAATGGGAAGCGGACTCTCTGTTACGGGGAACACTGGCCTCGCTTCCTCTTGTCCTGGAGGATCCAGGTCACGGCCTGTCGTGTGGTGGTTCTTTTTTTCCCCAGGGTGTGTCCAGCCACCCCCATTCCCTTCTCAAAAATTTGCTTGGATACTGGTTTAAGAACCGCCTACAGTTGTACTATTTCCCTCCCAGAGTTTCATATGGACCAATATT